GAGTTCACCCTGAGAAAGAGTGAAGGGTGAAGGAGAAAGGTATACCAGAGTGTTGGAGAGAATACACTGCCAATGGCCAAAAAGGCTACTTTTCGCTGACTGCAAACAACCCTTCCGGCAATGTTGGCGGGGGGTTAGGGAACTGTATGTTGAGCAAAAATAGCTGCTAGGCTCAATGAGCATATTACAGTGTAGCAAGAGGGGTCCGCACTTTAGGTGATCAATCAACCCAGAGGAAGCAACGATCACTTTATAACCATCAGCGGACGGAAACGTAAGCAATGGAGAGCGAGATAGCGTTTTAAAAACCATTACACAGGACTATTGTCCGTAGTGAAGAGGCCTGGCTTTCTGCCCTCAAACATATGGGCCAGTGCTATCTCATTAGTTTTAAGCATTGCATATGTGGCAGATGAGACAGAGTAGTTCATCATCATCAGATCAAACTGGTCTGTTTTTAAGGAGGAAGGAATACAGATTTTCTTGGGATGTAAAAGGATACACAGCTTGCCATCAGGGAATATTTACTCATTGCCCCGGAAATGTCTTGTTATCCTAGAGCACTAAACAATGACTGTCAAGAGACAGGTCCAGACAGAATATTCACCCGGACACATGAGCTCTTCATCCCAACGCCTTCCTCATATGGATGTGATTTCATTTTTGTTGTACCTCTTGAAAATGAGAACTGGTGCTGAGTGGGGAGTGGAAGCACACATTCTGGGACTGGGTGGAATCCAGCTGGCAAGAACTCACAAAGCCAACACAAGGACAAAGCCCCTGGCTGTGTTGGTATGGCTCTCGAACAGGACAACACACTCCTGTGCCAAATAGCCCTTGGCAACATTCTGGAAGCAAAAATAGCAGCCCATCTATAATTTTTCAACATGTCTTTTAATGAATCGCTTGCGCTCATGCCCTTGACATACACTTTGAGCTACAGAGGTAGTACAGACAGATGTGATTAATTTTATTTTAAACTAGGGCTGTCAAGTTAACGCGTTAATAACGTGGTTTTTAACACCACTAATTATTTTAACGTGCGATTAACGCATGTGTATTTGTCCTCGGCCCGCCCCGTAGTTTCAGAGCCCAAAGGCTTGAAGTTGTTGTTGTTGTTGTTAGTTGGATGGTGGCAGATTCTAGCGAGAGATATGGATACAAAAAATGTTGTTTTAAACAGCAAGTCAAGCACACAGCTGATGCTGATAGCCCCGCTCCTGCCGCTCGCTTGCGGCAGAGCAGGCTTGAAAGTTTTCCGGGGAGACGCCTGGACACGGCGTCTATGAGCAGCAAGCTTTCAACAGCGATAGCTAAATGGGTGGCTACAGCTTGCAGGACAATTAACATTGTGGAGGACGAGGGACTGTGTGCGATAATTCGGATCGCATCCAACGTGTTGACTGCACATCACAGCGCATTATTTTGACCCTAGGTGGGAACTTCAGTCTCATGCTTTGACTGTTATGAAGATAGAGGAGCGCCATTTCGCCGACAACTGTAAACAGGCTTGTCTGTTTGAGCAACTGGCTCAGTGCAAAGAAGTTGACAGGGTTGGAAGACAGTGTAAGAGAAAGAGAGAGAGAGAGGTTCCAGGTTGTTGTATTGAAAATATTCAGGAGAATATTTTTCATTGTTCCAGTGATAATAAACAAACATTTGCATAAAGCATATTTGTCCACTCATATGTTGATAAGAGTATCAAAAACTTGAAAAATATTCCTCTAAGGTAAATTTAGAACGGATACAAAATGTGCGATTAATTTCCGATTAATCGCAATTAACTATGAACATCATGCGATTAAATATTTTTTATCGACTGACAGCCCTATTTTAAACACATGATGAGGATCCTGTATTACATGGTACAGGTCACCTCTAGGGGAAGAGCTACCTTTTTAAATGTGAAATAAACCCAGAGTTTAACTTATTTGATGTGTGTATGCTCTCTGCGTCTGTCTTTACTGACACTGCACAGCACACCAATGTGAGCAAACGAGATGCTGTCACAGAGGTGTAAACAGAGCCAATCAACCAGAAAACGAAATGGAGAAGCTTTCCCAGAAGGCAACACAGCCAATTATGTGATAGTTCAGATAAACTGCAGTGGAGCCGGGTGAGGGAAGTATTCAACCAGTGCAGCCAACAAGCCTGAGCACACTGAGCTTGGCCCAGTCAGTGCATTGCATTGTTTCCCCGCAATTATATCCTTTTATTCAGGCAAACCTGCCCAATACTGTTTCATCTCTTCTATTAAATAAATAGTTTACTCTCATTGAAGTTGTAGCTAATTCAGCTTTGAAGAAGAGAATAATCAAATTCCTCCCAAACACATAAAGAGTTCTCCGTACAACAATGACAGACAAAATGAGACCATATATATTCCTTTCTGACCACAACCTTCCCTTATGGCAGTGAAATATGCTGTGGAAAGCTGTTTTTCTTCTTCTTCTTTTTTTAATACCATTGGGACAGTACACCTCATGGCTCCTCATCTCCTCTGAAACTGCAGCCGCTCATGTCCTCCGCCTGCATGCTGCCCCAAAAAACTCCCTTAAAAAGGCCAACTACAGCCTGTCATGCATCATATTGTTTGTCTTGTAATTTCGCCTTCAGTTTCAAGGATACAGCAGTTCAACACCTTCTCAATCAAATATAGATTTTATCCTCCAGCCTTGAGAGGCTATACTTCCTGACATTTATATCAATAGTTAAAGTGATCTCATGCCGCCTGACATTGTCTGCAGGTCAAGGCAATATATTTCTTTTAGAGATTTCAGGTATATTTTGGAACAATGATGTATCACTGCCTCTCCTAATGTGACCTGTGATGTTATTTGTGGGTGCAAATGAACCTCGGGAACCTTTTTTATTTTTGGTTCAGAGCAGTTCAAGTGTAGAGTTGACACTGACATAAACTTGGTTTATATTTGTAGCTGATGTAACTAATTGGACATTCCCAAACTTGTAAAGACTTGAAACGTGTTAATCTAAGTATAGTTATTTAGCTGCCTTTACCTGGCTCCAGTACAGGCAACCATTTAAAACAATAGCCACTTTTTTTGTATATGGCATCCAGCCCTTATCATCTGTTTTAAGCACAGTTCACATAAACTCTTATATATATGTACTGACCTTCTTTAAACTCCAATTGCATCTCATTCATAAATCCCATACATTGGTTTCATTGAGATAAAGACATATTCAAGAAAAGACTCCCATGAGCAGATCTGGCATCTTACTTTTGAATGCATCCACCATAAATAAATATTATAATAACGTGAAAGTATTCTGTTAGTTTGATTACATAAAAAACGGTCCAGCATTACAAACTGACTTGGTGATGAGACCCCACACTCCCATCACTATCCAAAATATAAAACAAGACAAAACACAGAGGACAGGTATGAAATACAAACACAAATTAAAATCAGGTTAGCAGGCGAGGGGAAATACAAAGTATTTAAAAAGGAACATGATTGTGGAAAACAAAGTTTAAATACTGTAGTTTTCTTCCCGCTGTGCAAAGCTTTGCTTGAGGGCCCCAAAGACAAGAAGGGG